TATGTTTTTGCCATATTAGATAACATTTTTCAAAGGGAAATGTGAAAAAATGGTTGTGCCTCCATATGCGATTATGCCTCCACCCTATATGTTTTGATAGCTTAGGAAATAGCTTTTGATAGTTTAGAAATTAGCTTTAATAAATAGCTTTAGCAGTAAAAGTATGCAGATGTTATCCTTGTCGGTTACATTTTCTAATAAATGATAGTTTTTTAAATCAAAGTTCTTTACATAATCACTCAATAGTTTTTCTGCTGCTGTTATAATTTAGCATCAAGAGTTTTATTCGGCGTTCTTTCATTTTTCATATACTAATGGGTCGTCCATAAAGTACGTACGCCAAAAATTTTGAAATCTGACCCCCTCCCTCCCCTGTTGCCATGCGTACTTTTGATTCCCCCCCCCTAAACAAAAGTACATATTTTTTGAAATACCCATCCACGCACACATATACACTTTTTTTTCAATGAAAAAGTTTATGGAAAAAGAAAAAAAAAAGTGAAGGAGGTACCTTAGCTACTTTATACGACCCAAAAGCTCTTCGTTTGCGGCACAGGATCCGAAATCAACAAACATCTTCAAATTTATATGCAATTATTAATTTAAATATAGTTAAAATACTTTTTATCGATGTGTTCGCTTGGTCTAACGGTTAGTTCTACAGATTGAGGTGACGAAGATCGGTATTCGATCCCCGGTCGGGTTAAATTGTAATTTTTGTGTTATAATGACGAATCAAATAAAAATAAACTATACTTGAGGCGGACCTTTTTATTACGCACCCCTATTTAGTAAGTCAGTTAAAAATGATTTTTTTTTTTGGGAGGAGGAGGGGGGGAGGGGACTCCGACCCATAAGCCACGGCACTGCTAAAACCTGTTTTTTGTCGACTCAAAAAATATATTGCCTTAAATATGCTTTTCTCAGGGCCTGTATATAAGAAGTGGCATGTGTGCATGGGCGCCCGCAGGATTTTTTGATGTTCTAGGACACTTTCACACATTTAGCAGAGGTATACTTAAGTTTGGAGCTTGCACAAGCTCCAAACATAAGATGCCTATGCCAAATGTGTGAAATTTGTACAAGCTCTAAAATTTAAGTACAATTATGCCAAATGAGGAGGCTTTGCAAAAAATTGGATGGCGGAGGCCTTGGAACAAAAAAGCCAAAAAACGCATCACCAAAACCCCCCACCCCGCCCAAGTGTGAGGGCACTAATGTAGTAATATTTCAACTTTACCATCTAAAACTAAATTCAAATTTATTGACAGATTTAAAATTTCGTAGAAAAATATTGTAAATTACATAAGTTATGACCATACAAAATTTACACCCCTAAACTTTTTTTTAAGGGGGTGTTTTAGGGCTTTTTTAATCCCAGGCCTCCACCTTCTTAATTTTTTGCAAGGCCTCCTCGTTTATCATAGGTATAATCATACTTGAGTGTGGATTTTGGATATCTGGAACATCTACAACATTCTACAAGCATGTTTTTGTAAGGAAAGAATTTTTTTAAGTTTTGTTGGTGGACAACTTGCCACGTAATATTTGCATAAGTAATGTAACAATGAATTAAGCTGAAGTATATAAGCTTTAGACTATGTGAATTTAAGTATGGGCGAGTTCGACACATAGTACTAATGGTTCTACTAATTTTTGATTGTATATATTTTATGTGTGGGAGCCATGATAAATGATCATCCACAATAAATATATATAATATAAATAATAAATAATAATACAATAAATATAAATATAAATATAGTAATATAAATATATATAATATAAATAAGTTATAAAATAAATGATTTTGCTTTTATATAATAATAGTCAAAAAGTTCTACCAGCTTCAAAAGCTAACCGGCCTTAGAATCAAGTGTAATAAAAGTTTAAAATGGAAGGCATTTGTTGGAAGTTTCTTTAAAATTTTTGTATCAAGCATGGGGGAGACGGTTGCGACAGCAACTTTTGACTTACTTTCAAGAAGCCATGAATTTAGCGCTCTTGCTAAAAAGTGAAAAGCTATTGTAGATACTGTTTAATGACAATTATTTTTCAAAAAATAGTATCTGATACTAATTTTTGAAAAATAATTGTAAAGTACGTTTGATTGATAATGTTGGTGCTGCAAAAGAAGAAAAGATAAATTTTATTTACTGGATTTCCGATAATTTAACATTAAACTTATAAAAGCATCAAATGAATTATTGATACAACGTAGTAAACATTTCGGGAGTTAATTGACAAATAAAACTTACAGGTTAATGTGAAAATGATATCAGCAAAAACTAATCCCGCCGATCCGTTAACGAGAGTACCTAGTTGGTAGATGAAAATGCTAAAACTCGACAAATAGTGCCGGAATCATTGTGACAAATAAGCAATCAATTTTGGAAATACACCAGCAGACCAGATACTTTGGAGTTGAACAAACTTTATGATTTGTTAAAAGGGAGTTTTTAACTACAACAAAGAAAAGGTACGCAAGATAATTCTTATATATCTCTTCTTTTCAAAAGAGGAGTACGTAAAGAAATATTGACAGATAACGATACTACATTCAGAAATGAATAATTCAGCTAATAGAAACTGCAATTAGAAGTGAAAGAACCTGAAAATATTTAAAGAACTGGGGTCCCAGAAAACTCTTCACGCATGGTCCATACATGGTTATCATTAGATTATGATTATTGGATATAATAGGCACCACCGCGCCGGTGATGCCGTTCATGTACCAGTGATATTCCAAGATCGTTTTACTATCGTCATCCCTGTGCCAATTTTGCAAATCTTACCGATCTTTTTCCAGTCTTAAACCATGATTGTAACAAAAGAAAAAGTACATGCGTAAATTTTATAAAAACTTAAGCTTTCTACATAACGTTAGTTTCCTTATAATTTATGAAAATTTGACTTAAGATCCCAGCCAACACAAAACGTTCAATGAACGTTGCGAACGTTCAAGAACGTTCTATGAACATTCATAGAACGTGCTCGAACGTTCACAACGTTCGCCGAACGTACTTGAACGTTTTGTGTTAGCTGGGATTATCAAATATATTTTCAGTAAGCTAAGGAATTTATTAACTTTACTAAATATAATTTTTTTCTTAACTAAATTAGTAAAAATATAATTTTCAAAGTATCATTAAAAAAAAAAAAAAAAAAAAAAAAACAATAATAAAAATATAATATTATTATAACTATTATAATATTTTTTTTATTATTAATTTAAGTTATATTATAATATTTTCATGGTATATTATATTTATAAGGTTATAATATTACATAAAAAAAACCATTTAAACAAATGCATTTAATTTGTACACATTTAGTTTGTTAAGGTGTTGTTTAAAGACAAAAAGATAAACAACTGTTCTATTAGAAAGCATATAAAGGGTGTATATGTTCTTCTAAGTTTAAAAATAGCTTATTGCAAGCTTCAAATTTATTAAATGTTTTTGTTAATCACTACACATCATTACATGGAAAGAATAATGTTGTTCATAACGTGCATATTTTACATTATTTATCATAACATGCAGAGAGATTTGGTTGTCTTAACAATACTTTAGCATTTTTTGTTAAGAATTATTTGAAATTTTTACATTAAATGGTAAGAAACCAAAACAACTTATTTAGCAAGTTATCAAATGTTGGTATGATCCTGAAAGTCATGTTATTTGAAGTTTTCGAATATTTTTTTTATTAAAAAACATCACTAAAATAGGCTACTTTTACAAGCATTAAGCCGTCCCAAAGATATCCCCCTACGCCCCCTCAGGACGGCACTGGTGATGACCTATTCAAATATCTTATTTTAAATTTAGTAAATATTATAATAAATAAAATTATTAATCACAATGATCGGAAGTCAGAGTCAAAAAAAAAAAAAAAAAAAAAAAAAAACGTTGTAAAAGTAGGTAATATAAAGAGTGCTGTAATATTTGTTGAGCCCATTTTGGAACAAGATGAACATTTTGAATCCAATAAAATTTTCATTTGAAATGCTAATTCATAAAATATGTAATAGTTTTATATTCAATTAATTAAAAACTATTCAATTTAACAGAAAAAAAATCTGAAAATGTCTGTGCGTTTGGTTCTCGACTGCGATATAATTTTTTTTTTTTTTTTATCAAAAGCTTTAACAATTGAAGTTAAATGATCTGGAAAATAAATAGATCGATTTTAAAATTTGAATTTTAACTTATACGTTTAAACTGAAAAATGCGTGCAACTAAAATTATAGTTTTTATCGCTACGCATGTATGTTTTTATAGCAGAAGAAAGAAATTGTCAAATATAAAATTCTCCGAAATAAAAATTTCTACGAATTGTATGCCGATTAATTATTTGCGCATGTGTAGTAGTATCAAAACAAATTTTTACAGCAGATGTTTTTGGTAAATCTTATTTCCTAGAATTTTATTCAAATCGAACAAACAGCATTAAGCATAGTCATGAGAATAAACTAGAATAACTTTTTATGACTATGCATTAAGTAATAAAGTTTCACGATACTGATGGTAAAATGTATAAAATATTGAAGCGAATAATAACAAAGTATATCTAATTATTAAAAGTATATAATAATTACAGAATTAAATAATACATTTTTGTTTATAATAATAAACAATAATAATACATCTTGTTTGTTAATTGTTCCTTGGTGTGGTTAAATGTCGACGTGAGATATCAAAGTCGATTGCTGGCCATAAATAATTATTAGGGCTAATAAATTTCTTAAATAAATCTCTTTTAGAACAGCAAAAGCTAAAATATATTTAAAATGAGTTTTAAATCAATGATAAAACCAGTGTTAAAACCAATAGTGTTTTATTTTATTTTATTTTTTAGCTTAAAAGCTAAATTATTTTTATTATTACTATTGTTAATTAATTTTACATAGTATAGAAAAATAAATATTTTGTTATTGTTGTTGTTGTTTATGTGTTTATGTATATTAATTAAATTTATTTCATTTTAATTAACTTATTATTAGACTCTAAAATAAATATATTGATAAAAGTAGAAAAAAAAATTCTGGAATTATAAAAAAAAAAAAGAAGCAGGAAAGAAAAAGGAACACAACAAAGATAAAGGTAATATACTTAAGTTTTTATTTAATCCCACTGTCTTTAATAATTACCTAGTAAAAAAATCCAAAGTTTAACTATTTATTAACAAATTATGTGAACATATACAAAAATTATACCAAAAATATTATTTAAAATAAATAATATGTAATTCACTTTGGTCTTTATAATTATAACATCTGGTTCATCAATATTTCTTCGAAATCGATAGCATCTAATATATCTCATCCAATAGATAAAAGTATGAATGTTTCAAGATTTTCTTGATTTAAAGAAGATTGTAAACTTAACTATTTTAAGTTCGCTAAATGCTTTTACTTTTGTGTAACTGAGAGTGTTGAAACAAATTTAACTGCTGCATAAAGTTACAATATGAAAAATCCATATTTAATTGGTATAACTATTTTATATAACTAAATATAAAAACTGTATTTTTTATAACTTTTATATAACTAAATATAAAAACTGTATTTTTTATAAAAACTGAATACCAGCTATAATTACCTTATTACATGAAAGTCTTACAATAAAACCAGTACCTTATTATTCAATAGCGCATTTAAAAATTTGAACTCTTAGCTTATTTATACAAATTATTATAAGTTTATGTTAACACATTTCATCATAATTGCGCTTCTTATATCCAGAACTTATTAATGGTAATATGGTTATTCAATTCAAAATTTATAAAAAAATATCATACATAATTTGTGAAAATTTCTCTGCTTTAATGATGATTGTATCAAAATTTATTTATCTAATTTTATCAAATGTATTTTCTACCGCAACCAACAAGCTAAAGGATCTAAACTAGTAATTGGGCTGTTAAAATAACTTGAAATTCGCACAATTTATCTTTTAATGCTTCATAAATGGATTTTTTTTTCAAAGTTTTTTGACAAACAAATAAAATCTCACACTGTAGTTGAAGTTGGAGATATGAAATAATCCAACTCTAAAAACTGCTCTTGAAAATTTTGTAATATATTATTTCAGATTTAGAAAATTTTTTGATTAAAAAGCTTGGAATCTTTTTGCAGTAAAAAAAGAAAAAAAATCAAGTATAGAAACTACTTATATAACTACCACTTATACTTAAAAAACATACTTAAAAACCTTTTTTTGACTCAATATCTATTTGTTCTCTATGCTCAATATCTATTTGTTCTCTAGTCATTTATTTTTCTTACCTTTCCAAAGCTTTTTTTTTAATCCCTTAAAGGGGCTTAAACATTGAAGCTTGAATCTTAGCGAAGAATTTTGCTGCATCAAGAAACAGGTTGAGTATTTATTAAACAGGATTCAAAACCCTTAAAACTTGGAGCTTTAATCCAAAACTTAAAAAATTATATATTGTATCTAAAGGTTTTAATGGTTACAGTTACCAAATTAACCAAATTTTGTATTTAGCTAAAATACTATTTGGTTAAATTACCATTTAAACAAATAGTATTTTAGCTAAATACATGTGAAAGTAGGATATATATTTTCAATGTATGTTTTTTAATACCAAGTTTTTTTTTTTATTGATTTCCAAAGTAAAGATTTACATTGTGAATACTTTTAAAATGTGTAAATGTTGTTTAAAATGTGTAAATGTCCTAGTTAATAAAATTTCACATTGTTTGTTGTACGTATTCAAAATAAGTTATAAAAATTTAATATCTAAAAAAAAGAAACAAAGTTGTAGCTAAAGATGTTTAGAGATGTTTTCTATTGTATGCTTACACATGTCACAGCTATTTACGATTCTTTTTAACTGAAGACTGTATTCCAATTGAGTTATCTTTAAAACTTTATGTTATCTTGGATCACTATTTACTACTGACCTCTTATTATTTACTACTGACCTTATATTACGAAAAAAAATCCATAGCATAGTTAGCATCTTGTTTCTTCTCTCTATTTTATCTCATCAAAGTCCAAAACTTTTTCTGTGACACAAAAATAAAGAAATTCTACAACAAATAAAAACATACATGCAGAATAGTATTTGGAGCCAACAGAAATGTTCCTTAAAACCACTTATAGGTGTGCTTGGTACTTTAAATGTGCATAAACTCAATTTACACCAAGTTTTATTGTTTATTTTTAAAACAAATATGAGGTTGTCTCCAAAAATCTTTCAATCTTATTTTAGTAAAATTAACCATAATTTACTCAACATACTTTTCAGATAACAACTTTGTTGTTCCAAAATATAGTTAAAAAAATTACTTTCTATTCAATTAAAAAAAGTGGACCTAATCTTTAGAAAAATTCTATATATTGTTAACCAAAAAAAGACTGGGTTACAGCACTTTATGAGTGAAGACAATTATTATTGTCACAAATTTCAATATATCTGACTTTAAATTTCTTTTTAAGTAAGGTTAATTCAAATAAAAATGGACTTAATAAAATCGATCAAATTCAATAGATAATGTTAAAAATTCATGTAATCATTATATTCCTTTTTGGGATTTTTTAGTTTTACTTATATCTAGCATCAACATAAACTGCAGCTGAAAATATATAACTTTGAAAAGCTTTTCCTATTGTTTTTTCTTTGATTTTATAGTGTCTTCTGCATTTTTTCATTACTCTTGTAAGTCAGAAGAGGACTTCAATCATACCATATTGTGTGGCATAGAAAAGTACCAAATAGCTCACTAAGTTGATGCAAATAAAATAATATTTCAATCATTTAGAATGTAGAACCCCAATGTCTCATTATCTGAAATTTGAACAACCGTGTAATGTTTCTTTCTCAAACATATTATATGTGAATTTTTTAGTTTCTTCACAGCATACAACACAAAAGTGATGCATGAATAACATAGGGTTCAGCTCAATGTCAGTAGATAGTTGTTGATACTATTCCAGTGGGACAAAGGTTTGATAATCTAAAACGTTTTCATTAAAGTTTTATTAATTTTAGCAAAAAAATGTTTTAAAACTAGCTTTACTTATTGTTCTAAAGTTTGACTGTTGAGTTTTTTCAGTGTCATGTGAATGTGATTAAAGCAGTGAATGTGATCAAAGCGGTTTAAAATCATGTGAAGGTGATCAAAGTGGTTTAGAAGGGTTTCTTTTGGCCAAAATGCTAATCTCAGATTTCAATGTTTTATATTATAAATATATAATTTTTCATTTAGTCATTTTTATATTTTTATTAACGGAAAAATACTTATCTAGACTCCTTCCAGGATTGTTTGAGCTTGAAGCCATTTTGATTAAAAACTATAGATGGGTCATTCCTTGCTGACATATTTTGCCTCACAGTAAGGAAGGAGGCATGAACTTTCTGGTTAAATACACTTCCTCAGTGCTCTGTGACAAGGCTGTTAGGACTTCTTGGGGCACCTAAATAACAAATAAAAAAAAAATGTTACGCAAAACGTGAGCAGAACATCCATCACCTACCAACGGTTTTTTTAATATTTCTTTTAAATACGAGAACACAGTTTTGCTTACTTTTTCGACAGTGTGGGGGGCTAATTATCTGGTTTACGATTGCCTCAGTTTTTTTTTAGAACATGCAATATTTCTTGCAATTTTCAAATCTTCAAACAACATGTGCATTAAACCAGCTGTCCAGGCCATTGAGTTGTAAGACTGATGATGACAAACTGTATGAAATGCTAATGTTGCTTCAGACACATGGGCTTTTTGCAATATCTTTGAGTTTTTAGATTGAAAAAAGGACGTTAAAATTATTCAATGACGCTGACACTTTGATAATGTTTTTATGTTTTTTGCTGCTAACATGGTGCTCTAAATCAGTTGCTCTTTTGTTATCTGTTCCATGTTTCAGATGATCTGATATAACACAATAACTTTGACTATCAAGTTTTCCATCTTTTATAAAATACGCAACAAAGGGGTGCACAGTTCCCTGGCTGTTATTCCAGTGAAAACCTTGCATTGCATCCTGTATTAGAAAGCTATAGTTTTCTGCAAAGTCAAGAAGAACTAAAGCTTTATTTTCTTTTAAATTAGTTTTCAATGTTGGAGGTAGGTGGCTTGACTGTTTGATATAAAATGATGCTCTCGTAAATTATCTAACTGTTCATAAACCATTTCAATAAATTCATCTAAATGTAAAGTTGCTGGTGCTAAAGTACATTGGTAATTTGATTTTTTCCATTGATAAAAATTAACTTTACTAATTTTATTTTCTGTAAACAAAGTGTCAATGTAACCTAACAAAACCTCTTTAGCAGGACGTAGATCACAGCTATGCAGCATACAATCTCTATTTTCAATGCTACAAAACATTAATTTCAATAAGATTTTGATCAGCAATTCCAGGAATTTTCTGTACGAGGAGCTTTACATTTTGATGGTACTGGTAAACACAAACTGTATTCAGACCCAAAGCACTACCCTCAGGAATGCACCACTTGGGCCTTAACTCACAAAATTTTGAAAATCCAACTTTAAGATAATTATATTTCTTTTTAAACTCAGTATATATATAGTAAATCAATATGTAGCTCTTTCATATTGACTAGTAGAAGTCGCTTTTGGATGTGTTGCTTTATACTATCTACTTTAACTGAAATAAACTCTTTGTTTCCTGGACAAACCATTGAATATTCATCGCATTCATAGATATGAACAACCTTTGTAATTACATCTTGACTAAGTTTTCTACCTGGTTTTGGAGAAGGTTTTGATAGTATTCCACTTTTTTTTCTTAATTTTCTGGCTTGTATTACAGATCTTTTTTAAGTCAAAAAATACTTCTGAGTTTTCTCTATTGACCAACTGTCTGGAGTGAGTGTGAGAAGTGTGATTTTTTCAGAATTTGACAATGTTTTTTTAAATTTTGACTTAATTTGAGTCATAATATTGTCTAAATCTGTGTTTGTTTTTTTCAAACATTTTTTTGAGGGTGATTCAATTCCACCAAGTGCACCTATTTCTAAACCTAGCACATTGGCAACAGCCTTTTGTGTATGAGCTCTTACGTTATCAATTTTACGCTTTTCATATGCAACTCTATCTTTTTTTGAAACAAGTTTGAGAGCTGAGCATCCAAAATTTGCAATACTTGAACTTAAGATCTTCTTTTAATGTATGGTTGTCAACATAAATTTCTTTTTCTTGGAGTTCATTTTCTTTTGTATTAGGTTTGCAATTCAGAACTTTTCTGCAACTAGTACAAATTTTTTGACCAAGTATTAAACCAAAATCTTTGGCATATGAAAGACTGATAACTCTAAAAGAATCTAAAAAGTATCGGTAATAATTATTAAATATTGTTTTTTTTATTTATTTAGTGTTATTAAGGTATTTGTATTAAATTAAGATATTAGTTTAAATATTGAAACTTACTTTTCACTTTTTTTGTGTGCTTGTTCAACGGATTACAACAATACCTGTGATGTTCATTCTCATACCTCGACAAGTAAACTTTCTTGTGATAGCTACAAATAAAATCTATGGGCTTTATTTTGCTTAAGAAATAAGCTCTCGGTTTAGTGTAGACAGTTCTTGGTAGCATTTACTATTTTTAGACTTGTTAAACTTAATAAGATAGCACTGTTCATTTAATGCTTTACCAATACAGCAAGTAGAAAGCTCAGGCATATTACTTATTATTAATTAGTTCTAAAATACAACAATTTATTTGGTTTCATTAGTACTTTTTAGATTGACATACTAGTAATATAGAATTAAATGAAACAATAACTTAACTTTTAAAAAGTAATAATTTTTTATGGAAAATTTACCTGACTTTTAGAGAGTACCTTTTGGGGGTTATAAATAAGTGCCCATTATTTTTTTGGTTTTTATTAATTAACACTCTTTAATTGATGCATATAAAAAATTTTATGAAAAAAAATAAATCTTAGGTAACAGATGCTTTGCATCACAGATCAATTTTACAAAAATCTTGATCCGACTCATTTTGGAGACCTATAACTTTTAAATGCAGCTCTTTGATCAACTGATTTTTTTAAAAATGTTTCTCCATTACATGTAGATCAGCAGGTAGTTTGATTTGTGTTAATTTGTGTTAACTTGTTTTTAAGATTAAGATCATTAAAATCACAAAATTTTTTTTTTTTAAAACAAAAATCTCAACTTTAGCCCGCCATTATGGGAAAAGTTAAGATGCCAGAATTAAAATTTTTTTCTTTTTCAAAAGTATCTACAGCACACTTGCTATCTTATAATAACTGAAGTATAAAACTAAATTGTTCAAATGTTATTGGCTGTTAAAAATGATGAAAAAAACCTTTTTTCTTGTAGAGTGAAATTTCATGCAAAATAGCCCACTGCTTAAATAGCGTTTTATTAAGAACCATATTAGATATTGATCTAAAATTTTCAAAACATGTTTTTTACATAAATATGTACAAAATCAAAAAATTTCAATAAAATCTGAGATGGTGCAAGTTTTAATGAGAGACCTCATTAAAATTTGCACCACTTGGCACGGAATGACCCTGTTTTAAGTCATTAAAAACAGAATCTTTGTCAAAAACTGATAATCTAATTATAATTGAAATACAATAACAAAATTTCCATAGTTCCGTTTAGTTAATGCAGATTTTAAATTGAGTTTGGCGTCATTAATTCATTTATAGTACAAACAGCAAGACAAATAAGGACTGAACTAAAATTACCTGTCACCACAAGATGTGTCCAACAAAGTTTGTCAAAATCAAGACGATTCCAGTAGGAAAAAAATGATTACAAAGCCACTATTGAGTAAAAAACATAAAAGTTCAAGATTTAAGTTTTCCAAGGACCACATGACATGGGATGCAGAATGGAAATATGATATTTTTTCTGATGAAAAAAAGTTTAACTTAGATGGGCCTGATGGTTTTAAGTATTATTGGCATGATTTGAAAAAAAAAGATTGCATTACTATGAGTTGTTCTTTAGAGGAGGGAAAGATATGGTGTGGGATGCAAATCATGGCAAAATTCCAATATGTTATATTACAATAAAAATGAATGCAAGAAATGTGAAGATCTTTTAGAGGATGTTTTAATTGAGTTTAGTGAAGGTTTACCTACTGAAAATTGGATTTTCCAACAAGATAATGGGGCAATTTACATGGCACAAAGCGTAAAACAGTGGTTCCGGGAAAAAAAGATGTTTTTGGTTTGAAACCTGACTGAACCCTATTGAAAATTTATGGGAAATATTGGCACGAACTATATATGGAAATTCTCAACAGTATAATATGATACAAGAAGTTAAAACTTCTATTCAACAAGCATGGAACAGTATTTCAAAGGTTTGGTTGGAAAATCTTATAAAAAGCATGAAAAACTCTTCAAATAAAGTAGTACAAAAAATTGTAGTAAACAAAAAAAGAAATTTTAAATTTAAAACAAAAAGATTTACTTTTGAAGGAACTATAGAAATTTTGCATGTTTTTTCAAAATATTTCTAACTTTTAAGTTTTTACAAAATAAATTAATAATTATTTTCTATTAAAATATTATTTATATTATTTATTTATTTTTATTTTTTTTTTATTTATTATTGCTTATTTTTAATAACTAATGTAACAAACAAAAAAAAAAAAAAGCAAATACTTTGAGTTCATTTATATGTTCAAATTGCAATTAGAAAGTGTGGAAATTTCGCTGAGTGTAGTTGAGTATATACAGATTTTATCATTTAAAAATCTTTATTTCGTATAAACTTTGTGTCTAACTTTCTTCAGGCTGTATATAATTTCAATAAATTCAAAATTTCAGCTCTATTGTTGAAATAGATCTTGGTTAACTGTAACTAGACTTATAACAATTAATAGATCATTTTATACTTCAATATTTTGTCAATATTTATCCTTATTCATCCTTACCTTTATTATTGCAGCTTTGTCTACTATTCTAGGCCTCAAAAAGATTAGCATTTAATTGAAAATTGAAATAGTTTACTATCTGAAATTTGTTTAACTTATGTTGCAGATATCTAAATGTTTATTGGAGCTTCAAATGTAAGATTACATATTAATGATTATCAACCCAATGCTAATTGTTTAATTATAATAGATTTCTCTGGAATTAATTTTCTCTTGTAGAGACTTATTTATCTCCTAAAAAACAAAATTTAACATAATTATTCTAATATATAAAATAACTATTTACTTAATTTTAATTCAGGTTTGCTAAAATACAATTAAAATATAATTCCTTTTATTGGAAATTTTTTTCTTTTTTCTAAACTTCCTTTTAACTTTTTAAATCTAATATTTATTATATAAAATTTTTATTAGTTATAAATTTACTAATTACAAAAGAAACCATTTTTGAAGCAAAAAGCAACAACTTTAATAAATATCGAATGATTACCAAAAGTGTTTCTAAAAAAATTTATGTTAAAGAAATGTTTTCACTGAGGTAAGGATAAAAGAGATAAAAAGTTTATGAAGTAAAAAATTTAATAGCATTATCATAGAAACATTAAGTATTTAAGTTTAGTAAAATTATGGTGAATGTTAAGTTTTTAAATAGGAGAGTGCATTAAAAGTTACTTAGTACTTCCCTGCATAAAAACTTAAACAATGAGGAAATATTAAAATTATATATTTAAAGATTATAAAGATAATTTAGTTATGTTAATTGAAAATAAGCATTTTATTTACAAAAACTTCTTCGAAAAAAAATTACAAAATCTTACAAAAAGTTCTTTGAAAAAATAATAATTTTCTAAACCTTTTAATTTTTTTTTAAGGTATGGTGGATTGTCTTAACTGTTGCGAAATATTGGTTGCATCTAGCAATTTATTTTTTTTTGTTAAAGCTGATAGAGATGTGCATTTATCGATTAAGCCAGAACTATATCAGTCAGTCAAATCAGAAAAAAAGATTTATGAATTCCAAGATAATAAAAAATTACGCATAAAATGTAGTAATTGTGACAATAGTATTGGCTGTATACTTCCAATCGGTCCAGATGGAATAAATCTTCTGGCATTTGCTGCTGATAAAGTAAAACTTTGTCAACGCAGCCTAACAATAAAAGAAAAATGGTGGAATACATACAAAAGTTTTGCATCAAAAATAGATCAAAGAGACAGAGATAATTTATTTGGAATGCTAAATGAACATTTTGCAGAAAAAAATAACATCAAAAAAGTAGCAACCAAGACAGTCTTTCCATCCACAGAAAATTTAAATTTGTTTGAATGGTTTTCAGTTTCACTTAAAAAAAAACCACGACAATATCAAATAGAAGCATTTGTGGAAGCACTTCAAAACAATTTAGTTGTTGTACTTCAAACTGGTTTTGGAAAAACACTTATAGCTTCAATGTTAATAGGGCGTATGTGTGAACTAAATCCACAAAAATTGGGTCTAATGATTGTTGATAGAGTTCCACTTGTTTTTCAACATGCAGCTTCAATTTCATGTGATACTAACCTAAGAGTAATAAGCTTGTGTGGTGAAAATATGAATAAAAATGCTGTCAAACGTATAAATGATGGACGTTTTGATGTTTTAGTTGTTACTGCTGGAGCATTCTATGAAATGGTTATGCAAAAATACATTGATGTAAACATATTTTGTGTGGTAGTAATTGATGAGTGTCATCATGCAACTGGTGGTCATAAGTATTTGGATGTTATTCAATTTTTTACTTCCATGCCATTAGCAACTCAGCCTAGAATCTTAGGCTTAACCGCGTCTCCAATTAACGCAAAAACCATTCCTCAAGGTAAAGATAGACTTCAAAAATTTCTTTTAAGTTTTCCATTTGCAAAGATTTTTTGTCCTGTATTATCAAAATCTGAACAAAATATTATAACTTTGGAGTTTGCATACTCAGAAGATCAGTCAAGTTTTTTAAATCAGGTAGTTCTAATGTTTAATGAACATCTTAAGAATAATATATATTCTCCTTTGAAAATTTCTGGAATTGAATTAAAGCATAATTTATTGAATTCTTACCAGATGATTGGAGATTTGCGTGCATTAGAAAGTAATTATCCAGAACAATCTGGAGTTATCTCAGCAATAAAAGTTGCTTATATTTATATAGAATCTTTGGAAATGTGTGCTATTATGGGTGTTAGTACTGCATATAATGTTATAAAGGATTATGTGAAAGAAATTAATACAGCCTATGAAAGTGTTCATGAAGATTCTGCTCGCCTAAAAAAATTATCAAAAATTTTAAGAGGTCTGGAGAAGACCTCTAAAGTACTTATTTTTGTTCATACTAGAAATGTTGCAAGAGCATTATACAAGTTTCTTTGTGACAATTTTGGCATGTTTAATCCTAGAATGGTATTTGGTCATGGTGGATATGACGGTATGTTATGGGAAGGTGAACAAGAGCTTGCAATTAGGGATTTTGCAACAGGTGAATGTAACTTAATTGTTGCTACTTCAGTTTTAGAAGAAGGGCTTGATGTTGCTGAATGTGATGTAGTTGTTTCTTTTACTTCAGTCAAAAGTCTTATCCAATTTATTCAAGTAAGAGGTCGAGCTAGAAAACCTGGAAGTAAATTTTTTTCCTTTCAAAGTATGCATGAAGCTGAAAGAATCAATTCTCTTTTTAAACAGGAAGAAATCTTGAATTCTGTTTTACAAAAGCATTCTAATTCCCAATGCCATTTTTCTAATTTAACTAAAGATATTATAAAGAAAATTAAGGAACATTATATTGATAAGCCTAAAATGAACTTTGATAATGCGGAAGAAAGTCACGACTTCTCATTTTTAGTTTATGTGGAAATTAAAAAAGTTGATTTAACTAAAGCTAAAGAAAAAATTCTTGAAGTTATTCAAGAATGTAGTGAGTTTAAAGTTAAACATTTTGAAATTATTAATACCACTGTTGAGATGAAATCATCTACTCTTCGAGTGTTTTCAAAAGATTGTATAGTTTTTCTGGTTGGTGCTCAAACACACTCACATATATCTACTTCTTTAGATGCGTTTTTTCAATTTTGTAGAACTTTCAACTTCATGATAAAACTTGATGATGTTTGTGTATGTCCATCATGGACTCAGTTTAGTATTAAATCTTGTAATCTTGAATGCTCAAAAGATATTGAAATAACAAAGTTTGGGATTGGTTATTTTGTCAATAAAACATCATGTGTTATAGCAAAAGAAATTAATGCTAAAAGCTGTTTGTTTACTGAAAAAGAATTTATTATAAATTATTTTGAGGATTTTTCCCAAATGTTTGTTAAAGTTCCATTAACATCTTTTGGATATTTTGGTTTGCTTTCAATTGACAAGAATTCTTTCTCGTTGAGCTTGGTATTGTTGCATGCACCTTTTATATACAAGTTAATAGAAGACAAGAAGGTAAGAGTAATACATTCAGATTTACCAAAATTGTTTTCGAAGTTCTCGCTATTGCAAATAACCTTTTCTATAAATAAAGTTCAGGAAGTTCAACAGGCATTACTTTCTCCGAAATTATTTCCAGTTCCACATTTTTATGTAAAACTTAAAATTGTTGAGCCAGCTAATGATTTAAATGATTGTTCATGCAATTATTCGATGGAATCTTTGAAAGAAATAAAGTGGTATTTAGGTTGTATAAAAGATTCAAGACTGCTTTGTTTACCCAATGATCCACTAAATAATATAGTTAAGCATATAGAAAAAAATGAATATTTAGGATTACCTTTTAATGAAGTCCTTCAGTTATGTGAAGCAGCAATAAAAGCAGTTTTCAGCCAATTAAGTAAGTACTCGTACTTTGACCATTTTTTTACTATTTATGAAATTGAGTTTAATCATATCCTAAAAATTCCTTTATCGAAAAGGGATATTTTACAAGATGTAATTCCTTCAAATTGTATTATGATCAAACGCATTCTTGCAACACCTACTCGCATTGTGATGCTGCCTCCAGTTCCAGTTGCATCAAATAGGTTGCTACGCTTACTTTGTAGTTACAACAATTTAATTGTTTCCTTTAAAGATGAAGATATGTCAAAGTCACAAGAAAACATGGAGTATATTTCAGTACTTATCAAAGATGGAATTATGGTAAATGATTTAAGATATTTATTTTTTACATCTTCGGCAAGTCAACTCAGAGATCATAAGGCCTATTTTATTCAGGTATCTTGCAATACTGAAATAAAAAAATTGAGAGGTCAAATTATTCCTCAGCCAGTCCAATTCAACAGTGTTGCAAAATATTTATCTCGCCTTGGTCTTTATGCTACAGCCGATATGGGAAAATTTTTTAACATTAGTCTTGATATGTGCTCTTGGATAGATGATCTAAAAGCAAAAAATGGTGAACTAACCACTGATGGATGTGGTAAAGTATCTTTATCAATGATTGCTTGTATATCAAAATTTTTTAAAATTGATCAAACCTCTGCTCTACAAATTAGATTTTCTGGTATAAAAGGAGTTTTAGTGTGTACAAATGATGATGATCCAGATTTGAAAAACAAACCATTTGCC